ACTCTCCAGAACCTGGAAACTCTAGTGGCATTTCTCACTGCCAGACCGCCCTCTCAAGATATCACCATGTTATTTTCTCCTCGAATAATAGACCCCAATAACTCACTACCCCTCTAATTCTCTTGTTGCGACTGGTAGAAACAAGTCATTGACCAATAATTAGCTGCCGATCACTTATACCAGATATACTAAACGATCCAGATCATACTCCAAGGAACGAAAGGGTCATATCTCACTAGGGACCCATCCACTGTACTGCAATCAGAACCTATCTGAACAATGAACTCTCAACACCCTGTCCTCAGAAACAATAAATGATCATGCTCGCTCAAAGGTATCCTCTAGCATCTAATAATAATAAGCCCCAGCTCCCTATCAAATATTCCTTTCAACACTAAGCACCAGGTCAACTCCCGACCTAATAGTTGAACCTTCAAAGGTTACCCATTGCATACCCCGAAATGTCTCACTGACTTCCTTCTCATAAAAATAATATCGGCTCATTTTGACACAGAAGTCATGAAGTTCGCTTTACCCTAAGAGAATACTACAATCCCGACTGAAATCATCTCACCCTTGATCTCTGGCATCTACTACTCATTATTTCCATGTGTCTCGCGGTCCTTCCCATACAAACGAACTGACCCACTCAGGTCTAAGACATCAGATGACACACAATACCCCTCAAAATGGAACCCACCTCTAAATCCAGAATCTCATATCACCTTCTCAATACACCACTAGAGCCAACTCAAACTCGAGAGTCTGGCCCAATGCAGGATTGGAACCACTCGTCCTAATGAAGCACTCAACTCATAACCTATGACCTGAAACTCACACGTACATCACTTCTCTAATTCCTTCTAATTTCGATAAACACACCTTAACTTAGAATACAATGATTTCCGACCATTAGGGAGATCCCAGTATCACCCCTGGCCCGACGACCAGGTTCCCACAAACTCAATTGATAAGGCTACCCAAGCCTAGGAACTCCACTGAGTCATGCTTTGACTAGTGAATACTACAGCTCCCCGTAGATTCATAACGCTTCTCTCTAATTCGTTTGCTAGTGGAAGCTACGGCTGCACGCAGTTTCACAACGCTCTCTCGCTGCTTGGTGAATACTACGACTCCCTGCAGTATCACCACACCCTCTCACTGACTGGTGAATACTACGGCTCCTTGCAGTATCACCACACCCTCTCGCTGACTGGTGAATACTACGGCTCCCCACAGTATCACCACACTCTCAAGTCTCAAAATAATCCAAAATTTAGGACATCATACTCGGATACCTTGGTACACCATTACAGAACCTCACGATGTATTGCCTCAATCCGAACCCCCCCTCCTCTTATTGCTCGAATCCCATGCAAGAATACTCATACTGAATCTGAAGTTGGTTTCCCAATCTGATGGGTTTTGAACATTCTAACACTCGTATGGTGTACATGCAACCCTAGAAACCTTGGATCTATATATTCTCTAAAATACATGCAAAATTGATTTCCATGGTTTACAACCTAACTAGCATGTTATGGGGTACTTGTAATACAAAACCTTAAGTAGAATAACATACCTTTCTTTTGTAGTTGACTGCTTAGAGTTTTAGAGCCTAGCACCAATAGTATGTATGCCTCAAGTGGTATCATAAATCACCCAAAAAAACTTGGAAATACTTGAGAGAATATGATGCTCACTAAAATCGGCCCACTCTTGTTTCACACACACACATACTAGTGCCAATTCTAGAACCAAGGACCTCTTTATATAGTATGGATGATTAGGGTTAAACCCTAATACCCATGACTCTTCATTTACCTAGGATCCATGGGTTAAAAGCCCCATGGACTATCCATGGACTTCCATATACTCTTAGCCCATCCAAAATAAATCTTAGCCCAATACATATATATGTAAGAGTCCATATTTAATTAGCCTATTTTGATCACTAAATTAATTCCAAAATCATTTCTTGATCAACACTAATTAAATAATATGATTTCATATTAATATATTACAACTTATAATATATTAATAGATCATAAACATCTTATTCTCAAAAGTATATCCATAAATATTGTTAGGTGAAGTGCAACCCAAATGGACCATGCCGGGTCGGGTCAAGTTCATACCAAATATAGTTATAGACTTACACACCTTATCCAATAGTCTCCCACTTGGACAAGTCTGATAACTATAGTTGCAAGTATAACTTCAGGAACCAACTAGCAACTGTACCTCTTTAAAACTCTATTGAACTATGAAGCGCCATTTTAGATAAGTGATCATATAATCCTCTGTTATAAAGATATCATCCTGAAAAATACATGGAACAATGTTGCACTTATTGTCCAGCAGTTGTTTCTCGATCTCTAATTTTTTTGACATAGAACTAAATTGAAAACATCAATTACGTTTTGACCGGGCCCAACACTTAAGCAAAACCAAATCATCGAGGGGGCCATATATTGCTTCTATTTCTAGAAGGAATAGATAAGCTTCGACTCATATGCTTGTACTAACTACTTGTTGAATTATGCACAAAAGCATGTTTTATGACATCAAGTTACTGATGCGTTTTTGTACAATTAATGGATAACCAACTCATAGTCAACAACTCATATTGCTAGGTTTGAAGATATATATATATATATATATGATATTATCGTCTCACGATCACTCGAGATAAATTCCATGAAGTGATACAAGTGAGTGTGGGTTTAATTCAATACTCAGAGCTTATGAGAACTCATGAATGTTGTAGAAACCATTGCCATGTCTAATTGTAACGACGTGAATTTTCAAAACAATCTATCATTTTTAAAGCATACATTTATTCATAAGATAGTATCAAACATAATGTATCCAATGTTATCATAACAAAACATATCCCATAATCTCAAAACATAAACTCCATGAGTGTGTACGGATCATGCCGACGCCTTCCCGCTATCCTTACTAGTACCTGAAATACATAACACATAACACATAACACGGTAAGCATAAATGCTTGGTGAGTTCTCCAAATTATCACATACAATACATATTAGCCACTCGAGACTATAACTCTGTATGACCCTCTAGTCAATGTGCTTCAATGGGACCCTCCAGTCCCATAACTCTATGGACCCTCTGGTCCTAACTCTGTGGACCTTCCGGTCCTAACTCTGTGGACCTTCCGATCCTAACTCTGTGAACTCTGAATTGTACATAGCACAATCACATAGAAATCTGATGTATCAAAGAATCAAGTATAGAATGAATTATAGTGTGAATTCAAAGTAAGTATGCGACATTTGAACACCGATGTAAATATGATCTGTTTGGCTCTATTACATTTTTTCAAAGTTTACAGAGTACAATGAATATTCTGTAAAGACTTCGTTTTTAAGACACTAGTAACTTCTTCTATTTATAGGAGAGGAAAGCATACAAAAAATATACTAAGGAATAAAACATTATGCTTCGACTATTATGCCCTAGTAAAATAAAATTATAGAAATGTTTGAAGACCCTAAATATAAACTTCGACAATTACAACACTTCGACCCTAACAATCTCCCCCTTTGTAATCAAAGTTGAAGTCTTCAGTTTGTAAGTAGAGTGATGGAGTATAGCAAAACTCTTCGAACTTCAGTGTACCAAGAAATAATCTTCTTCAATTCCTTCTTATCGCCTTCATTATTCTTTTTACAGTGGTTCATACGAACAACTAAGTTCGTATATTAAGATGTTGAATATCTCTCCACTTTGCTGGCTTGAAACAAAAATCTCTTCGTTTTTCCAGCTTTATCCTTCCCAGAAAAAACAATTCCAAATGGCTTTAAACATATTTCCCCTTCTGCAAACTTCTTTAACGCAGTCTGAGTCAATGAAGGAGGAACTTTAACTTCCATTCCCTTTGCAGTTTCCATCTCCACATCAGTTAGTGCAAGGCAATCATAGTAATTTTCAATGAAAATTTGGATGTGAGCAACTCCAAGTTTGAATTCTTTAGGATCGGTATTTTGCAAATAAGAGAAAGATTTGTCTTTAAGAAGCAATGCAACTTGTATAAGATCATACAAGCTCATCTGAGGAAAGTCATCAATGGTGAATTCTCACGTTTTACCATTTGCTTTGGCTACATTGTATTTAACATTTTGAACGATATTTTCGAAGAGCACATCTTTCTTCATGCTAATCACCTTTTTAATCTTGATTATGACCAGACTTCCTCAGGTGCTTTACCAATAACTGCATGAAATCGAATCTTCATATGGGTTCCTTCATTCTTTTCTTTAAAATTCCCTTCTGCTTTCAATTGAGGCATGATGAACATCATCTCATTAATAGGGAAATCCAACTGGCATGTGTCAGTGTTTGTAACCACATAGCTCTGTTTTGGCTTCTTATAAAAAAAAGTACATGTGGTTAAAGGCAACCAAGGCTTCGATTGTTTCATAATTGTAATGCTTAGCTGGATCACCTTTATTCGTCCCCTTCGGATCTCCAACCCTCTTAGTCATGATGCTTTGAATACGCCACATTCTCTCGAGTTCAGCTTCAGCTTCAACCTTCTTTTCTTCTTTTGAATTTTCAACTAAAATTGATTTTCCTTTGTCTTTCAAAGCAAATTTTTCTGTTAAGTCTTTTGGCTTTGAACCACTCCCACCAGAATCCAAAGGTTTACCGATAACAATTCCTTTCGAAATTGTTCGTGTAATCGGGAATGTTGTAACAATTGTTGAAGTCACTGGTTGAACAGACACAAACATTGGCTTTGTTGATGGGATGTTCAAAGGGAATACCTTGCCCACAACTTTCACTTCTTCTTCTGTGGACTTCCTTTCTCCCCCTTGCACCCCTGTGAAAACAGGAGGGGCAGTTGTTGGGGGAAGAAGACTAGATATTCGAAAGAGTGGGGCAAGTTGCTTGTTTAGAATAGCTTCGAACTATACAAACTTTTGTGACAAAAATTCAGGAGTGATCAACGGAGACGAAACTGGTTTTGTTTATATCTCCTTCAAATCTTTCAACAGCTTCATCACTCCTTCAAAATTTTCATTTTCAGTCATGGAGATTTGAGCGATTTGTGGACTCAAACCTTCGTACATCATGACAAATTTTGTAATAGCATCACATATGATATCAACCTTATGATGTAAGGACGCATAATCATGTTGACCATATAAAATTTCCTTGTTCATGTCTTCACGAAGCTCTTAGATTTTCGAATTAAGATCCTCCCTCACTTTCTTAACCTCCTGAACATAAAGAGCATGTCGTTATTTTGTTACGGATCGTAGATCTTTCACTTCTCCCAGAAAATCAGATCTTTGAGTTTTAAGACGAAGCTCATTTTTTTGATCTGAGTAATCAATCATCTCTATAAGCACTGTCTCTGAAGCCTTCAACATGCCTGGCACTTTGGAAATTATTCTAGACTCACACAACTTCAACATTGAATCAACCTCCAAACTGGAAATTGATGAACCGCCTCCAAGATCAACTTGGGATTGAATAATGGAGTTCACCTTTTGATTCAAAATTTTGTATTGTTTCATGGTCATTAGCATGTGATCAAGGAAATCTTCTTCTTCATCATGAAATTCCAAATCTTCGAATGTTCCTCCAAACGCTTCATGATATGTTTTAGTGGGTGAAGTTGGTTTGTTGGTATCAGTTGATTGAGAGGAGAACATGGAAGTGATTGGTTGATTGATGATGTGTTCGAATGATGGAGAGATAGTAGTTGAAGTAAGAGGAATGGCTGATGTTGGTGTAACAGAAACTAATGATTCAAAAGGAGTAGAGATGAATGGACCTTGGTTTGCATCCTTTGAAACATTTTCACCGAAGCCTGAAGTTCTCACCTCCTCAAAAATTGACTTGGAAATCGAAACTTCCGGGGTGATTTTGACAGTGATCTCTGGAATTGAACTTGTAAGAATAGAGGTGATTTCTGGAGTTTCTGGTACTCGTTCATCCTCTTCAATAGACTCACTTGATGAAACAATCTTCCGAGCCTTCTTTGTCTTCTTCTTCTTTGGTTGGGATAAATGTTTCGCCATGTCTTCTGTTGCTCGTTTCTTGGATGTGGGTGAAACAAGAATAGGAACCTCACGAAACAATACTCCTCGATGAGAACATCCCTGTTTTCGAGATGAAGACTTTCGTTTATGCTTGGATTTCATCTTTATTCTTCGAAACATCCCTGTTTTCGAAGGAATAACCATATTTTCTTGTGACTCTTCCACTATTGGCGTAATCACTTGCGTTTCTTCGACTCTTACAGCAAGATTTTCTAGCTTCTTCTTTCGAGATTTGGATAGTGTTAAGCCCTTCGCTTTCTTCTCAAGTCAGGTAGGCTCAGCTTTCTTCGACTTTTTGGTCTTCTTTTCTTCGCGTGGTAATAAGCTTCTCGTAGGAATAAAAGAATCGAATGTTTTCAAATATGTCTGCAAGACAGGATTCGAAGGATCCACCCTTTTAAGCATTGCATCGGGAATCCAAGGAACACTTGAAAATTCAGCAGCATCGTCAACAACCTCCTTTGGAAAGTGGTAAGACTGAAAAGTAACCTTTTCTTCTTCATTGGAGACCATAATACCTTCCTTGTTGTAGAAATGTCGCAAAATCAGACTCCAGTACCGAGCACACGAAATTCCATGAACAACATTCGTGTGTTCTACCCCTTTTTGGAACTCCTACCATAGCTGTGTAGAGTAATCGGCAGGAAGATCATAATACAAACCAGCCACCATGGCATATATCTCCATCCTTCCTTTATCCAAGCCAACTGTTCTTCAGGTTAAACAGCATAAAAAGATTCCAAACAAAAAATTCCATAGTTTTGGAAGACCAAACTTCTTAAAGTCATTGATCTTTGACAATGGGGGCTGATATCCCATTCCATTAAACATATGAATGATCTAAGAGAATTGAAATTCAACAAACGGAGGTGTATTTGGAATTTCAAGAAGCTAGCAAAACAGTTTCTTGGAAAGCCTAACCTTTTTATCATTAATTAGATGAAAAGTAATCGAATCAATGGCTTTGTTGTATGTAGTAGTAGATCCTGCTTGAGAAAGCCAGGATACTGGAACAGAAAAAGAGTTGAACATTGCTTTTGATAAAACAGAGTGTTTTAACGCACCAATTAGCATCTTGAACTCCTCCGGACACTACGAAAGTTCACCATCTACATAATGATCGGTAGATTGAATCTTCATAACTGGTACTGAGGATGTATCTTCGGTGGAATCATCGACATGAGAAGTAGTCGCCATTTTTAGGGTTTGAAGAAGATGAAGAAAAGAGAATTTTGGGAATTTTTGAGTGTTTGATCGCGTAAACGTATAATGTACTCTAGAACCCCCTTTTATATGTAACGCTGGATGATTTGAATTTGAAGCGGGATGCATTTAATGAGATCCGACGTGGCACCTTGAAAATCGGACAAGTTCTGCAAAAAGTTAGCCACGCGTTAAAAAGTGTCTGTCACATCTCCTTGAAAACCGAGCTGAATACCATACGTTACAGTTACACAGCATGTCTCTATCCCGTTTATTGAATTGTAATCGTTAGAACCCTTCGAATGGAGGCAAGGCTCTTTCACTTTTGGGATGAAAAGTGAATTCATATGCCAGATGTTCGAAATCATCAGCTTGAGTTGGTATTACTCAGAACCTCAAGGATTTCGTGTGTATAGTGTGCCAAAGAAAGGTTAGACAAGAAACAATTTTTTTTTTTGGAATGTAGTGATGTCAAAAATGCAATTTGACACGAAGGCAGTTAAACCCCGGGAAAAGGTTGCTTCGTTAATCATCAAGAGAGATGATCAACAGCTTCTGTATGTTCCCATGAAGTACAATCGACAACATTCTGATAAGAATCAAAGGGCTTCTTTTAAAAGTAATTCTTGGGTTGGTTTAAAATTTCGTTACATGTCAACCTAACCATAAGGTGATAAATTGTGACATCAATTACTTGTTTGACCAGTGTAGTCAGTGACAAGTTAGCTTTGAAAAATGTGATCATGATAAGGATATTCGAATGAAACTCACAATGAAATCATATTCATGAAAAAATTTGTGTTCTGGATCTTGTTGGGTAACAAACATCATGGGTTTCGAATGTTTGATCAAGACCACGCATTCGAAATGAATATGATTTGGAGTTTCGAATTTTAGTACGGAAACAAAAGTTTCGTCAATATCTGGAACCATGTTCCCCATCAATTCCTTAAGTTTCAAGATGTTTGGGTTTCACTTTCATCACAGACTCATGATGTCAGATCATTAACACATAATTTTTGTATATCTAGGTCTCAATGGATTTGATCAGAGAACTCTCAAACATACGTCTTTGTGTGTGATCGTGTAAGAATGTATTGATGAAAAAGATTGGTGTAAGAAACGAAGAGTACCTCTGTTATGTTTTGGACCAAACAGGAAACTCTTAACTCATTGTGAGAAGAGTAAGGTAGCTCAGAGACTAATGTGAATATAATCCTGATTGGGAAGAAATTTTCGTATGAAAATTTTCATTAAGGCTTTCGTACACACACATTGAGTCATGGAGGCTTTGGTCGACATTCAGCAACATGCTTCTAGGGACAACCTAACTAATTCAAATAATGAAAAAGATAGTGACGTATATGAAAAAAAAATTTACCTGTCCCCAATACTGCCTATTTTTTCCCTTCCGAATCATTATCAAAGTCTGCAACAAAATTCACAAAAGAAGTTAAAAATATTTTTTTTGTTTTTGAATTTTTTTTTCGAAAATTAAGACAAAAAATGAAAATCTTTTTGGATGTTTGATTTTTTGAAAATTTAAAGACAAAACAAAAGAAAATCTTTTTGGATTTTTAATTTTTCAAAAATATATAGACAAAACAAAAGAAAATCTTTTTGTGTTTTTAATTTGTTGCAAACAAACGAATATTTGGCATTCTTTGAAGAGTAACAAATGTACAAATTTAAAGCGTCTGAAGCGTTGACTATGAACAGTAACCACTGACTCAACGCTGAAGATCAGTGACAATCATGCGGATTCGAAATGGTCGAAACGTTCACTATGAACAGTAACCGCTGAATGCTGAATGACTTCATTCATCGCCTCTGAGGAATTCTTTTTCGCTTATTATTCGTCTTTTTCGCATGGAACAGAATTTCCATTGATCATTCCAAGACCTTCTATTATTCACATTAGAGACTTTTCATCCAAAGCTTTCATGAAAATATCAGCTAACTGATCAGTTGTTTTCACGAAATGTACTTCAGTATTTCCATCCTCCACGTGATCTTTAATGAAATGATAACGAAGAGCTATGTGTTTAGTCTTCGAATACTGCACATGATTATGAAAAATTCTTATTCCACTTTGAGAATCACAATATAATGGAATCTTTTTCATATTAATTGCATAATCAGGTAATTGACTTTGAATCAATATTATTTGCGAAGTGCATGCAGCAACAGCCACATATTCTGCTTCAGCCATGGAAATCGACACACATATTTGCTTTTTCGACTGCCAATTGACTAGTTTGCCATCAAGAAATTGACATCCACCATTTGTGATTTTTCGATCAAGATTACAACCACCCAAGTCTGTATCTGAGTATGCTTGAACGAAGAATCCTGTTTTCGAAGGATACCACAATCCTAACGAAATAGTGTCTTTAAGATAACGAAAAATATTCTTCACAACACTAAGATGTGGTTCGCGTGGATTAGACTAATACCTAGCTCAATTACACACAGGAAACATGATATCAGGTCGACTTGCTCTAAGATAAAGTAACGAACCTATCATGCTCCTATACAACGTTATATCAACAGCAGGTTTGTCTAACGATGGTGTTAGCTTTATGCCCGTTGACATTGGTACACGGAGCTTGTTGTATTCGTCAATCCAAACTTTTCAAGTAGATTTTTCGTATATTTTTCCTGATTGATGAAAATCCCTTCTCTATTTTGACGACTATTCAATCCAAGGAAATTATTGATTTTTCCCATCATGCTTATTTCAAACTTGCTTTTCATCAAGTCTTTGAATTCTCTAGACAAAACAGGGTCAGTCGAGCCAAAAATAATATCATCAACATAAATTTGAACAAGCATAAGATGATTCCCCACTTTCTTTTTAAATAGTGTGGGATCAACATATCCTTGTTTAAATTTAGATTGTTTCAAAAATGATGTAAGAGTTGCATACCATGCTCGTAGTGCTTGTTTTAGACCATAAACAACCTTATCTAAAATATAAACATGATTAGAAAATTCTTCGTTAATAAAACCTGGGGGTTGTTCCACATAATCCGTTTCTTCAAGTTCTCCATTAAGAAATGCACATTTCACATCCATTTGATAAACATCAAAATCTTTGTGAGCTGCATAAGCCATAAATATTCGAACTGCCTCGAGTCTTGCGATAGGGGCAAAGGTTTCTTCATAATCGATTCCTTCTTGTTGTGAATAGACTTTTACAACAAGTCTAGCTTTATTTTGAACAATGTTTCCATCTTTGTTCATTAAGAAATGCACATTTCACGTCCATTAAGAAATGCACATTTCATGTCCATTTGATAAACATCAAAATCTTTGTGAGCTGCATAAGCTAGAAATATTAGAACCGCCTCGAGTCTTGCGACAGGGGCAAAGGTTTCTTCATAATCGATTCCTTCTTGTTGTGAATAGCCTTTTACAACAAGTCTGGCTTTATTTCGAACAATGTCTCCATCTTTGTCGGTTTTATTTTTAAAAATCCATTTTAACCCGACAATCGAAACATTTTCAGGTTTAGGAATTAATCTCCAAACCTTGTTTCGTTCGAATTCAGACAATTCCGATTGCATTGCAACAATCCAATCTGATAGTTCCATTGCATTCTTAACTGTTTTTTATTCAATTTTAGAGATGAAAACATTAAACATGCAAAATTCTTGATGAGTATTCAGTACCTCATTCTTTGCACGAATTTGAGCTCTTTTCATCATTCCTTCTTGTGGACTCCCAATCACTTGATCCTTCGGATGGTCTCTAGTCCATTTTTCCATGGGTGGATATGCTGGATCAAATTCCAAAGGAGCCTCTTCGAATATTTCATCATATTCTGAGCCTGCATTCGAAAATGCATCATCAACATTATGCTCCCCCTCAATTTCAGCATTCAATTGTTCTTGCTCCCCCTCGAAAGAATGCTCTTCATCATTCAAAGTATTCGAATC